TTATCGATTAGAGAATGCTGATTCAGAACCAGAGGTGTCGGTGGTGACTTCGTGAAATTTAGTCTCAGTTAAAGCTAGCAGGTTGGTTTATTCAGTCTACGATTTTCCGCGTATTTTAAAAATTATCTTTATCTTTATCTTATTTTAATTGGTATTAAGACTTATCAAATGTACTTTTCGGGAACTTTCGTGAATTTTTCCAAATATTGATTAACTTTTTGAACACGCAACTCCGTGTCTTGGGATTGTAATTCGCAAGTCGTTTTACAAACAATTCATAGATTTTGCAGAAAGCTCCTTACTGATTTAGTATTCTAATGTGCCCTTAGCTTAAGCGCTTTTGCGCTCTGCATTCGACTCGTATTCGTTTTGAATCCAAGACTATACAAATCTAGAAAACTCGGACCCACTTTGGATGTCGCTTGTGCACTAAGTTTGTTTTGAATTCAAGAAAATACGAATATCGCTTGTACACCTAGAGATAAAATGACACTTCGGACGCACGTTACATTTCAGACCGTTTCTCGGATTCGGAACTGGCGGTCTACTCTCGATTTCCGTCCGACATCCGTCCGAAACAATTACTGACAAATAAGCAATACTTGACCAAATGAAAAGACGCGTGATGCGAATGAAGCTTCATACTGGATACTTGTCTTTTAATTTTGTCGAATATTACTTATTTGACAGTAATTGTTTCGGACGGATGTCGGATGGAGATCGAGAGTAGACCCCTTGATACGAATCGGACTTAGCGCGCAAACGCTCTTAGTGATTTTTTAAAAGATAACATATTTACCTGTTTCTTTACTCTATAAAGCCGAACTGAATGAATGTACGGTACAGATCGCAGCGATGTCTCACTCGTACTTAACTTTTGTATTGTTACATTTTTATTTATTTGTTCTCCTATTGTTATAAACTTTATGGTTTTCTTATGATGCCATGTTACGTCAGAAGAACAATTTTCGGTTGTTGAACTTGTCGATAATTATAAAGACTTATTTCTTTTGTGAGTGGCCGTAAAGATGTGGGTTAGTGCTGGTCTGATACATGTACAGTATTGAGGCCACCTATTGTACTCGTTTTCATTTTCCATATTTTGTTGAAAGAATTTTAAAAACAACATTTGTTTTAGAAAAATTCCTATTATCTATTATTGACACAAATATTGAACAAACATATAGAAAAAATTCTTCGATCCGGATGAATTGGAACCGGCGACTGTTTACCAGACCGTTAACAATATAATTAATGTTCATGTTAACTAGTTAAATTCAGGTATTGTCCGGATTTTGTAAGCACTTTTTTGAAGTGACCATTGTAACCATAATATAATTATATACTCATTTATTATGTATAATCGTGAATTAAAATTATTTATTTATTTTGAAAATTTGGTTTTTTTAATTAAGTGAAATGTACAAAGAGACTGTGCGATGGGAATTGGAATAATTCTACCTTCCCCTTTCCATCTTCATGCGTAGCGTTTCCCTTCCACATATAGATGACGAATGGCTATAGAGTGGAATTCCCTTGCAGTGTATTCTCTGAACGCTACAACTTGGGCCTTTTCAACACGAGTCAATATGCATTACTTAGATGTGCATGTTCCGTCCTCGATCTTATCGTCTCTCGCCATCAGGTGAGATGGAGGTAAAATGCTCACTTATTTTTTATAAAAAAAAACCTATCGTAAAAATATTAATAATTGAGTACTAAAATGAAACAAAAACAAATTTTGTATACAAAGTTTATTGTACATATTTACAAGCATTAAAATTACAGCGACTAATACACAATAATCTATCACGATTGTAGTTTCGCTTGTTATTTGCATCGTTAAGATTTAAAATACCTTTTCGTTTTTTGAATATCTTAAATGTATAATAATAGTAATAGTGTATTCGTAACAATGAGACGGTTCAACAAAAACAAAGATTTAAGCATTTCGAAAGTGGCAGAACGTAGAAACTATTATATGACAAAACAAAATTAACAATAAAAATAAGTATAGCACACGGTTACGGTGTCTGAACAATGTAGGGTTTCCTTTTGCATTAAATATGAAAGAACAATCTTCATAATTGCTTTTCTTTATCTTTAGTGCACAGATCAACTTTCGTGACCAAGTACATATTGTTATATGTACAATAATCACAAGTCGCAATTACCATAGTCTTTCCTATTGTGTGCATCTATAATTGTAATATATTAGAAAAAATGGAACTGTAACTATTTTTTCGAAACTAAAATATTTTTTTTTTATTAAGCGATCAGACAAGTCGTGGTGGTATGCAAAACACCGATCCATGACAGCTGCACTGCCACTCAGATCTTTAAACCACAAGGTCTGAGAGGCATTGCCAATGCGCCCGTCACCCTGAAGCATAAGTTGACAAGTCCCATGTGATCTGATCCCAAAACAAGTAACTAAAATTCTTGTGTTATGAAAATCGAAAATAGCGATGGTTCCACAAACATCCAGACCCGAGACAATTTAGAAAAGTTAGTTCTTCCTACATCGACCCGGCCGGGTATCGAACACAGGACCTCAAAGATGGTGACACCATGAAAACCGGTGTGCAAGCCAGAACACGGAGGTCATAATAGTTCCTTAGACGAATTATTTCAGAAGGAGCTCTATTGTTGCTTATGTATATTACTAATATTTTGTTAAAACTAAAAACCAGCTATTTTGTAACTATAGTTCAAAATAGGGTGGCTTCCGTTTTTATTAGACAACTGATTAATGACTAATGCCATGTCTAATAACCGCGACCATAGGACTTGTAAGCCAGATATGTTGATTTTGTTTGTAAATACAAATATACTCGATTTTGGGTTCGAAAAAATAGTTACATTTCCATTATCGTCGCCTTATTTTCTCAAACTCGTATCTTAAGGCACAAAGTTACTGGAATGCAAAAAATGGATTGTATTTAAAAATTTACCAGGCTGACTTCACATCATATTTCCTTCATATCGACACACTGGCTTTTACCTATTCTTAAAGTAATGCATCGAAATTAACACCCTTGATAAGAAATCCATCTCCTGAATAATCACTCTTTATAAGATACGAGTTTGAGAAAGTAAGGCATCGATATGTCGTAATAGCACAAACCTAAGAATTCGATATTAAAAGTTAATTTGAATTAGAAGGAAGACATTATTTAAAAAATGTTATAAATGAAAGCAAATTACATTAATGGCAAGGAATATCTATTTCCCCGTAATGGAAAAAAGCCTCACAAAATACCCCTTTAATACAATCATATTAAAGGCTATAACTCTCAAATTAAATTTCATTTCTCGTTCTTACTGAACCTAACCAAACAATAGTAAAACATCGTGAGAGACTCTTTGAAACAAATAGCAAATATTCAAACTGCCAAATATTTGGCACAATTATGCCCAAATATACTTTAAAACTAAAAGAATTTAAATACCTATATTTCGAAATCTGTGATAATTGTGTATGTGTTAATATAACATGACGACAATTGCTTTTTAGCGATCTTCCATGTACCCATGCAACGTACGTGGAGCTTATTCTATAAATAATATATTGCGTTAGTACTTCCCAGTTCATTTTCATTTCTTCAGTACGTTTCTAGGAATCAACTCACATCTAAAATCATCAATTTATCTCGGTTTGTTGAAGCTGTCAGTATGTTGTACGATATTAATATTGAATTTTAATTTATGACGTAAAAATATTCATCTGGCACTTTTATTTTACACTACTTTACAAACTAGAAGTACAAACACCCGTGTCCCTTTGTTTTGATTGTTGTTTATTAAGGCGAGTCGTCGGAGGAGAACATAGATATATATATCTATGTTCTCCTGCGGCGGGAAAAGCGGAAAAAACTGTTTTGCTAGAAATAATGGTTTAGGTATTTACAATTAAATAACGGTCTTACAAAAATATATACGATACATCTAAGGATATTGTCTAAAGAACGTCTTAATTTTTTACACGATAGGATGTACTATATCCGATCAAAAGTCTAAAATGAATAATTTACGAAAAAAATAACTATCTAACTTTGTACATAATTTTTATATGTAAATATTTCTTTTTAAATACTACAGAGAAGCTACTAAATTTTGTTTTTCAACTGGAACCCTATAGTTATTAAATTCACGTTTATCCCAAAACTTGCTAATTGCCTAGAGATTTAACACGACAAGCGCCACTTGGTGCCCCGTCAGTCTCTGAGATCTGTGTCGTATTTCCTCCGCTGTTCTTGTTTTAGTACGTTAATTTTCTGCGCGCGGATTGCGGGACACGAGAGGGGTTTATAACATCTGAACCCGGGGAATGCGTGTATCGTGTCACCCCGGGACTGGTTGCTTGTTTAAAATATTAAAATTTGAGTCGCATCCAGTACCGGGTTCAGTTGCACCTCGAGAGATGATATTCAATTTGTATCGTCTGAACCTGAATTCATTTTCGATAGATGTTGGCATATTTTGTTGCTTTAATGCAATGATATTATACTTTGTTAAGGGGTGATCAGCTTGTTTCCAAACACTATTCCGATTAAATAATTTTATTTTAGGGAAATTGATTAATGTTCGAAAATATGTTTTAATGTACAATTCTACATACATAACTCAGGTTCAGACGATACAATTTGAATGTCATCTCTCGAGGTGCAACTGAACCCAGGACTGGATGCAACTCAAATTTCATTATTTTTAACAAGCAACCAGTCCCGAGATCACACGATACTCGCATTTGAGCTCATTCGGGTTCCGTTGCAACTTTAAACCAACCCCAGGTTCAGATGCTAAAATATAGGCTCGCGTTGAAATACCTCGCCTTAATGAATTCAAAGTTTGAAGACCAACATATTCATTGATAACGTTAAATTTAATTGAGATGCTTACGATTTCTCAAGAACAGTTTCTTTAATTACTACAGCCAAAATATGCGGCACAGCTTCATTGTTAAGTTCGAAAATATATTTTGATTCGGGTTACTATCGGCGCCAGCAAAAATATATCAGTATGTACTACCAAAACAAAACAAAGAGAACGAGTATCTGTACATTAACGACATCACAGTACTTTAAATTACAAGTTCACAAGGTGTTTCAATGAACTGCGATGAAGGACTCCATCCTCGTTACTGTTGTCGAGCGACGTACTGTGGCCACTTGTACGGGTAAGGCGTCGGCTGGTGAAAAAAAGTAATTTCAACGCTATTCCTGATTTAAATCGCGTATATTTGTTTTTTCAAACAAACCAACGTTGCAGTACTAATTATTATGTTTTAATTTATTCTAATTTCTACTATTAATTAATAATAAATTGAACTTAATAAAAACTCATTCAATAAAATAATTTGAAAACGTAATGTAGCGTAAATTGGAATGTTTTGTTTTTTGTAAAATTAAAAATAAGGTATTTATTTAATAACTTTTGTAACGAAAAAATAGGGTGGTTTGCATTAATGTTAGACATAACTGGTGATGACTGTACCATCTCAACGAAACGTTGGCTTGTTTGAAAAAACAAATACATGCGATTTAAATCCGGAAAAATAGTATCATTTCCTATTTGCAACAATCGTGAAAACCTAAGAACTCGATAAAATAATATTTTTACCACTCGAATCTCATCAAAACTTTGGATTTTAATTTTACAAACGAAAAAAAATTAATTGATTAATTAGTAGATTATTTTTAAAACTGTTAGAAATACAACATAGTTCTACCTGTAGAACAATACGTCAAAATTTACCTGTGATATATGTCTAATATTCCTTTTTGTAGCGTCCTTCTCATACTTCCATTGTAGGTCGTGGGTAGAGTCCTTGACATCTGATTGAACGTCATTTGTTTCGATCTGATTTATCTTGGCGTCTTCTGGTTGCAACTGTTCTTTTCTTGGTAGCAAGTTACTCAAATACGTTGGTATAAAGTATCTAAGGCCGTAACCAGGTAGAGCCTGAGAGCTGAGGATTTGCGATGGAGTAAAGTAGTTGGTGATTGATTTAGCTTGGATAGGCTCATGTTTTGGTATGTAAGAGTTGACGAAACTTTGGGCATTGTTGATTGGTCCTGGGTTTGGTTGTTGTGGGTTGTACACAATTTGGGTGTACCGCGGCTGAGGTATGAAAAGTTGGGGTCGCCTGCAAGAAAAAGAAAACTTTGTATCAAATTGTAACAATAATAAAAAAGTCTAAATTCTTCATGCTTCCACACAATAGTGTGCATTCTTTTATTAACCGATTTCAAAAAAAGGAAGAGGTTCTCAACTCGACTGTGTATTTTTTGTATGTATGTTACGCGATAATTATTTGTTGGCCGATTTTGATGATTCGTTTTTCATTGGAAAGAGGGTACCTCAATAGTGGTCCCTTTTTAATATGAAGAAAATATTCATTCTAAGCGTGGTAACCTAGGGGATGAATGACTTTTGAGGTCGAATTTTTATAGTACTCTGTACTGAGACTATCCTTTGTACAATCTGTGAAGTACGTAAAGTACTTAAAGTAAGGATTAAAAGTTATGTTGAATTTATTTATTTACATATATCTCTTCAATATTTTGTTTATTTTTTTTATTAATAGTACATAGGAAATAATTTCTCGTTAAATAAAAATACGCGATGTTTATTTCGTACAATTATGACAGCGCCATCTATATGCTCCTTGGCGTTGGAGTTGACACTAGACTATAACTCTGAATTCACAACTTGACAATCAAGACTCAACTTGTTTTATTTATTTTTCTTCATGAAAATACGGAAAAATAATTGAAAATAATGTAGTTTTAATAGATTTCATTATTACATACTTTTCTTTTTTTGGTAGTTTTAATTCTCTAAATGTAAATAATATTAAGTACTTTAACATTATACTACGATAGGACGATTCGGAACATCAAAAAAGAAAGAGATGGCACGACTCATCCGAAGAACAGAGTCCGATGTGATTATATAGTGAAAAGAGAATAAGTACGTTACGAGAAAAATTTTCCTTATTCAAACTAAGGCCTTCGTAAAGGTGTTTTGAGAATTGATATATCTTATTTCATTTCAGAAATATAAAATCGAACAACGGTCGATCTAACGTCCACAGCAAAGAAGAATGAACGAAATGGACTATGAGTCGTGGCATTATACAGTTCATATTGCGTTATTTCTTAGTAATCTGCTATTTTTAGTAAGGAATAGACAATATTGGTAAATCATTCGTTCTTTCAGTCACTTTAGCGATAATACATTACTTGGTTGATAGGTTTGTCATGGTACGAATATGAGTAATATTATAGAAACCTTACTATACGGTTATATTGAAATAAGATTGTTTTTTGAAAGGTTATGGTAGGCCCCCAGGAAAGGATGAAATATACACACACGGACACACTTAGCGGAACTCTGCTAAAGACCAATAAGTAAAAAAATTCAGTGTATTTTACTTTATATATAATACAATTATTTGACTTTTTAGTCTGAACATAAAAAAATTTTTTGTAATTTTTTCATTAATTTCTTTTAATTTCCTAATAACACATTTTTGTTGAGTGATTGGAAGTAGATTTGGCGTTTTTGTCAATTTCATAAAAAAAAACTTTGATTTAATCAATGGTAAACTGTTATAAATGTTTAATTTCCAACCGTTTCTGCATTGTCGCAAATAAAAACAAATACATTTTGTTCAATTTCGATTTTTTTTCAATAAAGGTTGAGTAAAATGATGTTAAATTAGTTGCAAGTTTATGTCGAATACTTATTTCTTTAAATTTAAACGTTTGTATTTTTATATTCTCACTTTTTTGTTCCTCTAAATGGGCCGGTATGTATAAGTTAAAACAAAACATAAACCAAGTTACCACTGAGCATTAGGGTCAGGAGTGTCACTGGGTCGTTCTTCCCAAACTGGCGCCGGTGTCCGGTTGGGTTGCGGCGCTGGCTGCGGCAACTCCGGCGGCGGTGGCTCAATGGGCCCTCCTTTCGTGCCAAACTTCACCATGATTGCTTGTGCGCAAGATGCGTACAACACCAGGCATGTCAGCAACTGATAAACAGAACCACGATTTACATTCCACTTGATACAATATCAAACAAGAGAAAATACTAAAGACAAAGTAACTCTTATGATATGTGTGGTAAAATTATTCATCATATCGCAAGATCGCTTTAAGCCCTTTCCATTGATCAACTTTACTAAAGCATTGCGTAGGTGCCTTTAGATCATTCAATTTGTTCCACTCAGTTGACGATTTTATGAAATATAAAGAAAGACTACTTAATTGATTGATACATACGTACGTTCCTTTACATTTTTAATTGTAATATTGTGACTACAATAAATTATTCTGTTCTTTTCTATTCTACAATTATTTATTATTTATCTAATCTAATGAAATGATGGTATCCACCATTATGGCATATTCTGTGTTAATTAATTTAATTTAGTAATGTATTGTTTAATTGTTTATTATTATTTTTCATGCTTTTGTTGAAGGCCGAATGGGATTAAGTTCTAATTAAATTTCAATATTAATTATTAGTAATGTTTACCCAATTTAAAGCGAAAAAAATAATTTGATTTTGATAAATTAAAACATCATCTTTGTGTAAGAGCTACTTGGGTCCTAATCAGCGTTTAGAATTTTAAAGTCGATTTCACACTATCGCTTAACGCTCCCGCTATTATAATGAAGGAACATTGTACCTGTCTTGATCTATTATAGTGGATCTGGCCTACGGATTCGTTGAACAGTACGGCCGTGGTCTACATTTTATTAACTGGTTAGATTTTTCTGATAACTATGTTATATAAATAATTCACAATGTTAATTCGTTACATTCTACTGTGTGAATTATCTAAGTAGATATAACATAGGTATTTTACACGGATTCGCAAATAAAGCTTTAAGATTTTATCGCGATGAAGAATCGTATTGCCTCACGATAACATAGATAGCATCGTTTTAAAACAAAATTGAAGTATTGGAGTAATATTGCAACACAGAATAAAACAAATGGCGAGTGTTCCCAGGGCATCCTTTTTATGCGGCGATCGCAGATAAATTGAATTAATTAACATTCAACCAAGTGCGAGCATCTCATCTAGCCTTCTACGGTTTACACATTTTGTTTTCTCACCTTATATTTTTAAAACTATTTTACTTGAGACTGAGATAAATATTGCTCCCATCGTTGCGTTACTGTTACACATTTCTTATCTTGAATAAGTTGTAAGATTTTTCTCACGTGTATAAAAGCTAGATACATACACTGTGTTTTTAAACAAACATTTCACATTTCATTCTGTTTGTTCGCATTAAAGATTTATAAATCAAGTTCATAAACTCAATTTTCAATCACAAAATGTTTACATTTCCTCTGTAGCTCTTTTCATGTCATGGAATATGGAATCAAAAACACTTAAGTAAAAGTAAACGAACTTCAAAGATGCCTGATTCAAATAATTTACACTACCTCAATGGCCGAACGTTGGCCGAAAATTCGCCACGCAGAGGTTCCCATTTTTCAGATTCCCCGGACCGGGAGAAATATTTGTATGGGCTACATTTATTTCTCTCGTGAGTTTGGGTGTAATTTGTGGTTGTCTATGTATGTGTCTATGACACCCGCGACACAAGGTTTCCCTAGTGCGGGGCTATGTATAAAAAATTAAAAAAATTGCCCATTTGACTATTTACACTTCAGGCTTACAAACCGTGTCGTAATAAACATTACGTACATTTTGCAGTTTACATAAACTTAGAACAAACAACCAATTAACAAATGAATAAGGTTCAACTCAGTGTCCTTATTTAAAATTTGTAAGAAAACTTGTTTCAGTGGGTACAATTCTAAATAATGAACTTCGCTCACTATTGTTTATTTAGAGTTAGCACACGAGTTTTGCAACCATCTTGAAATTCTAACACTGATTCGGTCTTATCGGAGCATCTTCGCGATTTATTAACTTGTCTTTATTGTGACCACAATGTTATGACCTCTGACACTAAGCAATCCACTGAATGTAAAGATCTCTTATTTTAGATAACACTCGACTGGTTTACGAAGCAAGCAATACTTGAAATTAAGTTAGGCATTTTTCTTCACATTTGGGTAAGCATTTCGGTTGCAATTTTTATTTTTTAAGTATTCGAAAGTATTATCGTAAAATAGTAAATAATATTTCTGGATACTACACTCGAATATTAAGTAATACTTCAAGATAATATTCTAGAATATTTAAATAAAGCTTGCCACCGAAATTAGGTCGAGAAAACTAACCAGAAAGTTATCCATTTAAATCAATAAAAAACACTCTAAAGCTGATGTACGTGCGACAGATTGGTCTAGTAACCCGAATTTACCCTTTTTTCTTTCCAAATATAAATATTTATCGATTTTGATTCGAGGTTATATTTTAATATCAATTGCAAATAAATTTATAGAGAATACACACAAACTTATTTGCGAATCAAAGATCGATAATAACTAAGTAAACTCAGTCGTTTTGGCTACTTACAACATCGTGTTTTAATGTCCTCGTTCAATAGTAAAGGACTTCTTATTATACGTAGTCCGTATAATCACACGGAAAAAAAAATCAACTAGTTGTGACATGACAGGTAAATGACACATTTTAATTAGTTTTGAATTATGTACTTCATAAATATGAACTTAATATTTTACCCATCATTAAGCACCGAACTTGACCCGCTTAACTCATTCCAAATCTCTGTTATAACATAACATACCTTACGTACTAGCTATTGAGTGCTAATAGGAAACTTACCTGTAACCTCGCCGAGAAAAACATGATTCTGCTTCTTCTTAAAGGGTGTGGACTACCTTATCATAAGATATTTTATCTGAAACAATAGAAAAATAATATCATACACAACGCTTATATCCTAGTCGGTAACCAAGTGACGGGACAAACTAGTCGTGCACCTGGTGTTAAGCGACACGCCTGGCAAAGATCTGAGGGACATTGCCACTACGCGTGTCAATGTGCGAGATAAGTTGACAAGTCTCATGTGCCTGTAATTTCATCAGTACTCTCACATTACTGCTTGGCGGCAGAAATAGGTACGGTTGACGAACGGACGAACTCTTTTACAAGGAGCTCTACTGCTGCTAATATATTTGATATAGGTACTTGAGTTTGAATGTAACCCTGCATTATAATTGTGTTTATGCAACATCGTTAACTCGACAAAGAAGACAAAGAGATAGCTCAATTAGTATTCAGACTTAATGATGTTCAGCTAATTGCTGAATTTAAAACGATGTATTCATTTCATTCATTGTATTCATGCATTTCCACTGTAAGATTTAATTTCTTTTGAGTACTGGCAACGGTGGTAAGTAACGGCAACATGCTGGTCGCTTATTCTTGTGAAGTAGTGACGCTTAAGGGCTAGATCCTGTTTTATTACAAACAAAAGCCTTACACAAAAAAGAGAGATTAGCCACAGTCTCCTCTTGCAAACAAGATTGTTTTCTAAGTATGCTGACACTCTTCATAGAGAAAACCAGAGCTTTACCTAGTGATGTATTTATTACGTCAAACTTAAATGTAACACTATGACAATTTTCATCAATATTAAATAACTTCTTCTTCATCTTGTCGAGTAGTGACAAAAACCACGCTATTGCTTTATTTCCTTGGCCCAGTAAGCAGCCACCTCTATGCCTCTATGCCGCTACACGCCTTCAGCAGGTCTTCACGGGTGCAGCAGCTGGTCGGACATAGTAAGCATGAGAGCAAGTGAGACATATTGTGAGTGGGGGATCCGCAAGCAAAAAAAAGGAGCAGCGAGTTTGGCTTGCCAAAGTTTGCGCCTTGCGTCTGTTGGGTTACTTTGTATAGCGGTGGTATGTCGAAGGAAGCTCTTACGGCTTGATAGTTGTGCTAATGGGAGCTTGTGGCCGAATAAGGAATTAAGTAACTAAAGATTTAGCTTATATGAAGAATAATAATTACGAATAATTTGTTATGACTTTTAAATGTTGGATTTTACCTTCACACTATCTGCGAAAAAAAACAAGTGTCTTTCATTTTGTATGGATTATTTTCTAATAACGTAATTTAAATAGTTTTGGAATCTTTTTGTTGTGAAATACAGTTTTTTGAGAAATAATTTTGGGAATATAAATTATAAATATTGTGTTTCATATAGGTACTAACTTTTTAGATGAATTATTGGTTTAATAAGTTTTCTAAAAAAAATGTTATGTTATGATAGATGTAATGGTTAGCCTTAACCAAAATAGGAAAAATGTTACGTTCACCAAAAGACCACCTTCCTTTACAAACACCGGGTGTCTATAAAGTGAACTGCAGTTGTGGGAGCTCGTATATCGGTCAGACTAAACGAACAATTGTCGATCGTATGAAGAAACACATCCGAGCAGTAAAAAACAATGATGCACAGAAGTCGGCTATAGCACAACATCTCACACAGACTGACACTAACCACTGGATCGAGTTGCATAGCCCCCAGGTACTCTCGACAGAACGTCACTACATACCACGGTTGGTACGAGAAGCCATCGAGATCACGAAGTACAAAACATTTAACCGTGATGATGGTTTTAAACTGTCCAGTGCATGGAATCCGGTCCTTAGTGCGTGCAGTAATAAAAACAAAAACACCTCGAGTTTAGTTTCGCGTGTGTGGTTTGTGTGAAAAAAGTGAGTGATAATGGTAACGCCACAACAAATCGCGATGAAGGTAGTCGTCGACAGCGCAAGAGGGTAGACAGATATGTCTGCTCATAGCTATCATCTGCCGCCGTCCAGTCAACCCGTGACCATGGAGCGTGCAACCGTTCCGAAATATCGGGAAAATAAAAAGAAGTCATACCCTGGTAAGAAACCTGATACTAGTGATAATCATTTAGATGTAAAGGTACCTGGCAGAGTGAAGAAAAACTTTCATGGATTTCTTACAGATGACGGCAAAAAGTCGTTAAAAATAAAAAACAAAGATCTACAACTAACACAGAAAATCCTTAATTTTAGTAGCAGCAGAGCTCCTTGTGAAAGAGTTCGTCCAGGAAAGTACTGCCACCTTACCTATTTCTGCTCAAGCAGTAATGACATCATTACTGTGTTCCGATTTTGAAGGGTAAGAGTGCTGGTGAAATTACAGGCACGTGGGATTTGTCAACTTATGTCTCAGGGTGACGGGCGTAGTGGCAGTGCCCCTCAGACCTTTGCGATTTAAAGCTCTGTGTGGCACTGCAACTGTTATGGACAGGCGTGTAGCTTGCCATCAAGCGCACGACTTGTTCGTCCCATCACTTGATATTATAAAAAAAAATGAAAAAAAAAAAAATCGTAAGGCCTGCTGTTTAGTTCAGTAGCTGGGAGAGCGTCAGGCACGGTATGCTGAAGGCGTCGATTCGAATCTAGCAAGATCGAAGGAATGATTCTAGTGTTCAATTATGTTTCAATGTTGTTCAATGTTGCCATTATTAATAATTATAAAGCACTAGTGGAGTGAATTTCACAAAAAATAATTAAATTTCATAGTAGTAAGACAACGTAATAATATTCAATAAGCGTAATAATTAAATATTGTATTCTTTTTATGTTTATTTTCAAGTCATTATACTTTTAATTACGGCAGCCTGACAGGGTCATATCGGTTCTATTTAAATTTTAAGATAGCTATGTCAATAAATACTTTGACTTTGGAATGCAATGAGTAAGCTATCTACTGACATAAGCATTTCAACACTACAAAGAAGAAAGGTGAACCAGTCTATTAGTAATCTCTCACGCATCACAATACGAAAACGAAGTAGAGCTTGACATTTCATAGCGAATGCTACTTGGTGATAATACACTGTCCAGTTTAGTAGACCACTTCGCAATTGTTGTAACTGCTACAGTTGTAGATGGCATAGATGTTCGAGGCAAACTAGTTGATTTATACGTGACTTACCTATTACAAATTATAGTAGCATCTTATATTATGTGTTCCTTTACAACAAGACTACTAGATGACCTCGTAGTCCTCGTAGTAGTTTATGTGAAATCGTGGGTCGTACTCGTACAATGCGATTTTACAATTAACTTCAAAAATTCTTGAAATGTTTGCCAACTATGTTGTGGTAAAAGAATTTGCTCTTATTACTTTTTTATATAGTAAAATGTCGTTTGTCATAACATTACTTTTCTATACTTAGCCAAGTAGTTATGGAAACTTCAATCGGAATGCAAATGACAGCTACGTACGCAAGAATGCGTACTTCCCTTTTTTTTTGTTAATCCGGGGGAATCTGCTTATCTGCAGATACCCCGGCCCCGCGGGGACAGAGCCGAGGTTATGTGGGACTGGGCTGAACCCTGAAGGAGAGCAGCCCGACCGCACTAAACCCCCGGAGTGTTCCTCCTCTCCGCTGTAGGTGGGGGTACGGGTACGCTGTTGCACTCGTCCGCGCCCCCACCAGCGGCTGGCCGCGCCCTGCGCAGCCCCTCCCCGAGAAGGGAGACACATCGGTCCCCCGACTCCGAATGTGAGGCTCGCCGAACACCAGACGAGCCTACCATCCCGGTCCCCTTTATGCTGGGCAACGAACTCCCCCGAGTCGGCTACCCAGGGGCCATGGGGGGCCAGGACAGCATTCACTCAACTGTGAAGTTCAGTGGCTGCTCCCCCAGTCCCCGCGGCGGATCTGATGGCAGGCTCCGCCGCAACACCTAACGCGCTTCCGCGCGGACTCTCCGAAGAGAGTCCCTTGGAGCGCCCACCACGGGCCAGCCGCCCACGTTCGGCCGCGGAGGATAGGACGAGCGGCAACGACACACCGACACGTCTCTTCCCCCGCGGCCCCGCCGCCACTGCATGGACGAACTAAAGAGTTCGTTCGTTTGTGAAAGCACAAAGAGTGGCTACTAAAATGACGTGAAATTAGGCATCTAGGAAATAAACTATTTTTCCGGATTTAAATCGCGTATATTTGTTTTTTCAAACTGTTGTCTATGGTATTACTTTTTGACAAAAATTGTTTCGGACAGAGAACGAGAGTTGACTCCCTGGATCAAACTTCGTCTACATGAAGCGTGCTCACCAGACTGTGCACTTACAATGTAGATCGATAGTTCTTCAACTGTCACATTCCTAGTGTTTACCATACTTAACCGACTTACCAACTTAGTAATTTTTTCCCTCTTTATGGTAACTAGGTCTGATCAGATAACATATTACTAGAATGCGAAAACATAAATTAAACAGGCAGATACATACCACCTGCAAATAAATATTGCTAAATATTGAATAATCTTTAATACATTTTATAAAATTATAACCGCTTACCTTTACTACCTCTGTGGCCAGACGGTTACCATTCTGGTCTGCCACGAGGACGTCTCAGGTTTGACTCACGGACCGGGAGAAATATTTGTATGGCCTATATTTATTTCCCTCGTGAGTTTGTGTGTAATTTGTGGTTGTCTATGTGTGTGTCCATGGCACCCGTTACACAGGAGGGCTATGAATGTGTGCGTTATTATTATCTCCAGGTAGGTCTATAAATTATGATTTTTATAAAAATAATATTATGTACTTGCTATTCGGTTGTTTCAAGGAAATAAAAAATATTTTTTCAACGAGTCAGAGCTCACTTTTTAATTAATGTTAACAATTATAAACAATGATAATAAATAAATAAATATTAGACAACATCACATACGTTGCTCAAAGTAAGTAGCAAAAGCACTTGTGTTATGGAAATCGGAAACAACAACGGTACCACAAACACACTGACCCGAGGCGATTATAGAAAAGTTAGTTTTTCTACACTGACTCGGCCGGAGATCGAACCCGAGACCTCAGAGATGGCGATACCATGAAAA